GAAATATACTTACTGAGTGTCTGTGGGCTGACTGATCAAATAAATGAAAGTCTATTCAAAGGAAATCTAGACACTCACCATGCATAGACTTGGCAGATGTGGGAATCAGGAGACCCTTCTATTTGTTGGTGGCGAGTGTCTCAACTGGTACAACTTGGGGAAAATTAAAATAAAACACACATGCTTCCCAGTTCAGCAATTATGCTCTCTTCTGTACAGAATCCTTCTTTGGGAAGGACACAGGAAACTAATGATGATTGTCTTGGGAATGGTGGGGWCAGAGGAGGGAGGCACACTGACTTACTCCCATGGGCCTTTGATTGCACCCCCCTTTTGATAGTGACTGGGGCCTTAGGCATGGTAGGCAAGTACTCTACCACTGAGCTACACCACCAGGCCCAATTCCCTTTTAATACATAACCCTATGGTTATATTAATGTCATGGACACAGACTTGTTTTGTTGCTGGGGAGCTGGAGGCTAAAATCTTGTTCGGGGAAGTGATATTTTTGTCCTGGCAGGGGTTGTGGCCTTGGTGACATTTAGTTTGGATAAGGCAATGGGGAAGCCCCATGTTGGGACATGTTTACTTAAGCAGCCCACAGGTTGCTAGGGTCAGCTTTTCCCAAATGGGACATAAGCTCAAGGAAGATCTCAGTGGCCAAGAAAGAAGGGGGTTCTCCAGATCTTGCCAGACCCCACCTCTTGTGAACAGCGTTATGGTGGCTTTTTGGGGCCCTGGGGGACAAGGGAAGCATAGCTGAGATGGGATTCACCAGTTCCTTCCCTGTGTGGCCACATCAGTCCTGGAAGACTCTTCCCTAACCTTGCAGAGGTTGTGTGGCATGAGGGCCACTCCTCCCATCTGTAGCAGACTGGGGTGCTGCARGATCTTCTCCAAAGGAGAGAGGGCCAAGATTAAGGAAAAGAGGCAGAGAACCTTTTCCCCCTCTAACACATTCTCCTGGAGGGGTGGGGGGCATTCCCACAGAAGGAAGCAGCACTGGACTGTGGAGGGGCCTCCGTGAGCCAGGCAAACGCCCTGACTGGAGGACRTTCTTTGGGGTTGGGAAAACATTGTGCAAGTGGCCCTTCTAAACAGGACTCTGCTGAAAACTTGGCTGCTTACAGGCCAGGAACAAGAGAAAAGGCATTTCCTTTTCCATCTGCCAGGACTATTAAACGTTGGCCCAGAACTTACAATTTTCCTAAGTATATTATCCACCTTACGGTCACGGATTTTATAGCAGGCAATTAGAAGACCATCACGGATACTTCCTTGTTTTCTATAGTAAAAGAAAAAAACCCCATCTCTGGTGGTTGTTGTTACTGTTGACTCTCATTTTATCTTTGGTTTATAGTAAAGAACCAGGAAAACCAATAACAGGCTTCATGGGAAGGAGGCAGAAAGCACAGCCAAGACTGTGCAAGTTCTGACTCAGCTCACGAAAGGAGGGTAAAGGACAGGTGGCTCAGAGAGATTATCAGACCAGACCGGATACCAGATGGGCAGGTGGAGCGAGGGACCAAAGGCTGGTGGGAAAGGAGCAGGCTCAGAGCCCTGCCAAAAATGGGCAGGGTGGACACACAGAGAGCCACCGGAGGCTGCTACACAAGTCTCTAAGAACTACGTCAGTGATCCCACTGCAGCCAGAGATATTTCACACGTGAACATGAGACTCCTTAAAGGCATGAATCACCTGCTTCTGCCAAGGCCTCCCAAGCTGTATGAGGGGGCCTGAATAAGGAGTCGCATGAAGACTTATTTCTTGGTAGGGCAATGGTCTCCTTAGAGTGGCCTCACTCTTGCGTGCCCACTAGAATCATCAGAAACGAGAACATGAATGTTCCTGYCCCACTCTGGGCCAGATATACCAGAATCTCAGGGGAGAGAGCTCAATCACTGTGCTTTATGAAAACTACATTTCCCCTCTGTCAAATATGCAAATATTTGCCCAAAGCAGACAGCTTCCCTGTAGAAAGAGTATTCAAAATGTCGGCTAGATGATGCAACAAAGAAAAAAATATAAACGACAACAAATCATCTATTGGTTATCCCTGTGTCTAAAACATAGGATCTCACCAGGTGTGATGGTGCAGGCCTATAATCTTAGTGACTCAGGAGGCTGAGGCAGGAGAATTGCAAGTTTAAGGCCAGCCTTAGCAACCTAGAGAGGACCTAAATAACAAAACAAGACCCAGTCTCAAAATAAAAAGGAAAAAGAACTGGGGATGTAGCTCAGTGGTAAAGTGCCTCTGGGTTTGATTCCCTGTAGTGAGGGAAATATGATCTTAAGAATTAAATATTTGCTGGGTGTGGTGGTTCATGCCTCTAATCCCAGTGGCTCGGGAGGCTGAGTCATGAGGATCTGGAGGTTAGTGAGACCCTGTCCCTAAATAAAATCCAAAAAAGGGCTGTGGATATGGCTCAGTGGTTAAGTGCCCCTGAGTTCAATCCCTGGTCCTTCCCTGCACCCCAAAAAATTAAATCCTAAAAATAACTCATGAGCCAGAAGAACTGTTTGTACTTTAATGATGAGAAGATTGAAGCTTCCAATTTAGCAAGTTGATCAGAGATGGAGAGCAAATTCATACAGGAGCTGAGATGGAAACCTGGGTGTTGAACTCCAAATGTGCTTGCTTCTTAACTAGAGGGGACCCTGCAGGTTAGCACAGACATTACATTGTTTGATTCTTTGAAAAGCCTATAAGAAYTTTAAGTATTTTGGGGGTGACAAAAAAATGGGATAGAAAGGTTTAATATGTGGCTTAAGGTTGTACAGCAAGCCAGAGTAGAGCTAAAAGCAGAACCGACATTTCCTGACTCTCAGCCTGCACCCTCCAGGACAGCTAACCATAGATGCTGTTCTACCATCAACCCCAGACTACTTTCAACCTGACTATGCAGCAGTAGTCTCTGCTCTTCATAACAAGTACAAACGTGTCACCATCTCCACTTGCCCACGCAACAAGAATTGCACCTCAGTTCTTGCAGCAACTTCCTCATTGCTTCTGCATGAACTTAGAACTTGGCTTTGAAAAGTGCTGGCCAGGGCAGAATGACTATGTTCATGTTCTGGAAAGATAGTGGGTGGGTTAAGATGTCCCTCCCGTTGGCCATCAGCTATGGAATCTGCATCAAATTCATTCTGCCTGGTTTGGGCTGCTGTGATTTGTGAGCTGAACAAGAAGGGAACTGATTTGTATACACACACCAAGAAAAAAAAACAAAACCAAAACCTTCCTTTTTCTTCTTAGTTCCTCAGGGGAGGAAGACAGTCATTCTCCTGTGCATGAGATGCCTGTGGTATCTAAGTGGAAGGTGCCCAAAGACACACAGAATCTATGTCTGATGACAATTCACTAAATTTATTTAAAAAGAAATGTTCAGGTATAGAGTTGGGGAAGAACATTCCATTTAGAGGAGGCAAAATTCAAGAGAAGAACGATTGCGATGCACATGTCCTGTTGCTACGTGGCTTGGGAAGATCAAAAGGGAAACAAAACCGAACAGAATCTCTGTGAAGCACCTCGGGCTCACTTTGCTTCTCTTGCATGCTTATGAGGGCCACTTGTTTTAACAACTGTTCTCGTTTTAACCTTTTAATGTTGCTTTTCAGTACATGGTGATCATGTAAGAGAGTTAACTCAACTTTAACTCTTACAACCTCTTCAACTTAATACTTACCTAAAGTTAGAGCAGTGACTTATCAATTTCTTTAGGATACAGAGTCCTGGGTTATGAAAACTAGATAGCAATATGGAAAATGCTTTTGATATGTTAGGTCAAAAATATGGCATTTATAATAGTTATGTCTGTTGGCCAAAGATATTTTATAGATATATACACGTATATACGCTTGTGTGTGTGTGTGTGTGTGTGTGTGTGTGTGTGCGTGTGTATACACACACACACACACACACACATTTGTGGATGTATCATGGGAAAAAATGACATTGGCCCAAAGCATCACTTTAAAATCTCATTTTCTAATAATGGGAAGAGAGCACTCTAGGGCCCATTTGGAGTATGTGTCTTGTTAAAGATATCTGGGGTTTCCTCTGGCATTTTCTGCAAATGCAGAAGATTCCAGAAGATGTGTTTTTCATGTTCCCTGGAGAAAGAGGAGGTACAAAAAGAGATAGGACAAGACTCAGAAGGTCCTGGTTCTGGCCCTGACTTCTAGGGATGCTGTGCATTTATTTTTTAGGATTTAATTTTTGGGGTGGTGGGGGAGGACCAGGGATTGAACTCAGGGGCACTTAACCACTGAGCCACATCCCCAGCCTTTTTTTTGGATTTTATTTAGAGACAGGGTCTTCTAATGGATCAGATGTGAAGGGACTACAGGCAAAAAACCCGGGACCAAAACCACAAACTTTGCCCACAGGGGCCAGAGTTAACCTAAGGGTGAAATAGGCTGGGTAATTTTGACACAGTCTTTGTTTGTAACTGTTCATACATATTCTACCAAAAACATACTCTCTCATTTTCCTTCAGACACACGAGACCTTCCAGGTTTACCTCTTATTTCTCTACTTTATGGAAACATGGACACCACAAATATTTCTTTTTTTTTTTCTTAATTGTGTAATTGGAAAAAGATGCACAAGAAGCAAATGCTAGCTCTCAGCTCAGGGATGGGGATCAGCAGAAGAGCGAGGGGCTGTAGTGAACTGAAGATGGCATGCCCAGTCCAGGTGACAGGATGCCTTAACTCAGGCCAGTGATGGCCATGAGGAAACTCTGGCCTAGTGTAGGGAATTTTTCCAATTTCATTTTTAAGAGAGAATCCAGAATCTACATTTTTAGATTTCTAAGTGTTGCACCTCTGAAATGAACAGGAGTTGTACATGCTGACAGGGCACCTGTGTGGAGTCCATTCAACGCCAGGGCCACCATTTTTAGGGCTTTTCAGAGTTTACACAGTCATTTATCTTTCACTCACACCCTCCTAACATGGGGCACTTGTAATCCACAGAGGAAAGACAGGGACTTACTATGGAGCTGCTGAAGGCCACAGGAGGCTGTGAGCTCTCACGGCGTCCTACAGACCTTTGTCGGGAGTGGCCTTGGATGGGCACCCGGGCACTATGGCATCTCCTCAGAGGCTGGGCACCACCTTGGCTTCGCATTGTTGCAGGGCCCTGGGTCCATCTAGCTGGGAAGGACAGGCATCGGTATTGGGTCCACTCTTCACTGTCTGAGTCCAGTTCCTTTGGGGTCTCTAGTCGCTTGGCTGCCAAGAAAGGAGTCCTGTTATCCCTTGGCTGGGCCACAGCTGGGCAGATGCTGGGCTTCCCAGGTAAGGTTGCACTACCACCAGGGTCGAGGCTGCTGTGGAAAATTGGTAACTGGACTACTGATGCTAGAGAAAGAGCGATACGGTTAATTCCCACAGATTCAAATTCTGTCTCTATTACCTTCTTGTTATGTGTCTTCGAGCTTTGACTTAACCTGTGTTTCTATTTCCTCAGTGGTTTTCAAAAAGTACCTAACTCATAGGATTGTTGATTTAATGATGACATAATGTATGAAAGTGATTAGCAAACCATCCATACCTGTTAGTAGTAGTAGTTGGTAAAAAGAGATCAGAAGTTCCCATGTAGATAATGAACTCTCACCATCGAATGGGGATATGGCTGCCTGCAGCAGCGCCTTTCTTTCTGCATGCCTCCCAACCAAAAAAAACCAAACATGGCTCTCCTGATAGTCTTTTCTTAGAACGTGTGTGCGTGGCGGGGTGGGAGTGTGGCTGAGAGTGTTTTATGGGCTACTTTCAGCCCAGATAAGATAAAACACTTACAGCCTTATCTCCTAACCAAAAACATGGCCTCAAAGTCTAAGAGATTTTTTTTCAAAATAAGTTAGCATGTAAGGAATTTTCTAGGTATGTCAAATATGACCATGTGCCTAGATCTAGACCTGTTCTGACCTGTCAGGTAAAGTGACCCGAGAAACTCCTAAAGCTTCCCTGCATAACTGCCAATCCGTTGAGACATGTCCCCAGTCCCTTCCTGACGTACACAGGCTGTGTTATGACTGTCACCAGACAGAGATCCACTGGACGGTTTCTACATGGGGATCACATTTAGCCTTTGTGAGCACATGAAAGTTGACAGGAAGTAAGAAGAGCCCTGAGGTGTGACAGGGAAGGCCACAGGATACAGGAGGCCACCTGTCCAAATGCCACACAGCCTCTAGCCACAGCCAGCTCATGTCTTTTTAGTCCTCTTCACTTAGGAAGTGTTTCCTTTCAGAGGGGGGAATGGAGGCCCTGGGCAGCCCTCGTACCATTTTCTTGGTGACAATACTCTCTGCCCATGATGGAGCAGCGCCGGAACACCATCTTGTTCTCGGTCAGCGTCCCCGTCTTGTCGGAGAAGATGTACTGGATCTGGCCCAGGTCCTCGGTGATGTTCAGGGCTCGGCACTGAATGGACAGATCGGTCTCCTCATCGTAGAGGTCAAGGTCATTGTGCAGGAAGAATACTTGCCCCAGCTTTACCAGCTCAATGGACACGTACAATGAGATCGGGATCAGCACCTGAGGGGAGATGGATGCCCGCCGAGTCATAAACCCACCTCCGGACCCACCACTAGTAGGTAGCAAAGGCATTTGATGGAAAGCTGAGGTCAGCTCACAGGATGTTCTTCGTCTGAGAAATTAAAGGTCAGTGACTTCACGCCTCCCCTGGGAAGATTCTTGGGAATCTGTGAAGGAGGTGTTTTCTTCAACCTGAGGTGCCTGGGACAAGGAAGGCCCTCACCTTTGGTTTTGAATGAGAGGAAGCAAGTAAGGAAGCCTTAGTACCTCTGTGCAGCATCCCCTGAGCCCTCTTAGATCTCTAGATCCTGCAGGGCCACCACCCATTTCTATCGGTACTCAGACCCACCGCCGATTACTGTCCACTAATTCAACACCTAATATTCATCCAGGGCTTTCTTTGCATTGGATGCTGTTCTATATCTTAGAAATGGGAGTTATCTGAACAAAATTCCTTAAAGAATTCACATTTCAGTGGCAGGAAACAAACTAATAAAGGCATATTGGGTGGCCATAGGTCTTATGATGGAGAATAGAGGAAAACAGTTGGTAGAGAGTGATGGGTGGGAGGGACTCAGACCATGACCTTTGGAGGGTGTGAGTTGTGAGGTTATCTGAGGGAGGAGAGGTCTGGGTTGGGGAGCTGGATCCGTGTTTGATGGGTCATAATGAGCTGGCCTTGCACATGCATGAGGAAGAGAGAGGCAGGAGCCAGGGTCAGGGAGGGAGTCAGAGTCCAGATCACTTGGCCCTGTTGTCTGCGCTCAAGGACTTTGGATTTCACCTTGAGCAGATATGAAATTACCGCCAGACTCTGCTGAGAACACAGGTGTGCTTGTTGACTTTTCAAAAGGATTACTCTCCTTGATTAGCAAGTGATTGAAAGTGGTTCATCAGCCCTGGTGCAGTGGCACACGCCTGTAATCCCAGCAACTCAGTAGGCTGAGACAGGAGGATCGTGAGTTCAAAGCGAGCCTAGCAAAAAGTGGGGTGCTAAGCAACTCAGTGAGACCTTGTCTCTAAATACAAAATAGGGCTGGGGATGTGGCTCGGTGGTCAAGTATCCCCGAATTCAACCCCCGGTACACCCCTACCCGCAAAAATAGAAGTGGCTCATCGATAAGAGGATCACGAAACACCCTCATAAAGCACAAGAAATCTAACCTAGTGCAACTTCACCAAAGACTACTACAACTTCTCTCATCTTTTCATTGACCACATTTTCTTATGGAGCATGAAGACTTTTTAAAATTCATTTCTTTATCCCTAAATGCCTCACATTTGGTTGATTCTCTCTGTCTTCTTCCATTTTCCCCTTTTCCTTCTCCATCTCTTAGATGTGAAGGCACCAACTCCCATTTCCCTTCTCTCTTGATGCTCAGGGGCTGGGGAGTTCTCGGTGGCTCTCAGAACTCCCTCTTCTCCTTCTGTTCTGAGGTCATTAGTGTTTTGTCTGTTCTGTTTCTGTCAAAGAGACAGGCGCGTGGGGGTCACTGTTGTAACCCTACTCTTCATAGAAAAGCCTGATAAACATTTCCCTACAGCCGTTATCTTGAGGGACCAGGTCCCCTCGACAAGCCTGGGCTGCTCTGAAATGGCCTCAAAGCCAACATTTTTAAAGCCTCACAGGAAAGCAATAGCCACCTCCTCACCTCAGTCCAGTCACTTCTCTTGTGGCCAACACTGACCTTTCTTTATTTTGCAGAGTTGTAGGAATTAGAGAGCCTGCCTACCTGGAGCAGGATGATCATCGTGAGGAACATGTAGAAGCCCCCCAGAGCCAGGGAAAGGTAGTGGCCGTCGGCATCCGGCACGTCGAAGGGAGGGTGTTCCTTAAAGTTCCGATTCCAGAGGCCGTGACCTGAGAAGAAACGGAGCCAGAGGTGAGGCAGAGTCTGCATTTAGGCCGGAAGTTGGTCCATTCTATCAGCTCTTGACCTACTCCTGGAAATGGAAGGGCTTGGGGAGAAGCCCATCCTCATGCCGCACAACACAGGTGTGGGGGTCTGCAGCTCGTCCCTCTCGAATGCGCTCTTCACGTACCCTACAATCAATCCCTAGATTTCACCATTACTGTTAAGTCTGTTTTCCTGGAGGAGATGAGCATGCGGATTACTTGTGTTCTGATGAAGACTGGTTCCCGAGGGGTTGGACACAGGGAGAAGGACGCGTGTTCCTTTTAGTTGTGTGGGTGAAAGTGTGTGGCTGGGAGTCTTGATCTCCCTTCTTCTCTCATCTACCCCTCTATCCATTTACCCATCTTTCTGTTTGCCCATTCACTCCTCCCTCAGCCAATGCTTCTTGATTCAAGGAGTCTGTCTTGGTTCTTGAGGAGTTCCCTACCAACCACCCGATGTAAAAGGACACACTGCGCACAGCATGAGGGGTGCTACGCAGAGCCTGGAGTGCCATCAGAGCCACAGCCGCTACCCTGTTTCCTTATCTGCAAAGGGGATGATAACACCCACGTCTGAGGCCTACACAGGTGAAGGGCTTCCACTACCTGCTGCAGGGCTCTCCGAACATCTCCGATCATCAGTGTGATCAGTAATGCTCAGTGATGACACGTCACGGCAGGGTCATTATAACCTACTGTGTATAAAGCTCTCAGCTCCAGGGTACAACCTACAGGGAGTTTTGGGGAATGTTGCTCTGCCCCAAGACACATCATTGCCCGGGAAGATGGGCCAGATGCCACCACACATGGCAGACGGAAGGAGACTTATGGGCACGGTGCTGTTTGAGGGTGATACTATGGAGCAAATGTTGTGTGGCACAGTGAGGGGCCCTGGCCTTTATATAGGAGCAAGATGGTAACACAGGAGAAGTCAGAAAAAGGTGTCAGGAGGAGGAGGCCTGGATGGGTCCCAGAGCCTGGACAAGAGTGTGTGTATGTATGGTGGTGGGTGTCAGGAAGGGCAGTTGGAGTAAAGAAATGAGAAACAGCGGGCTGGCGGAGCGCTTGCCTAGCATGTGTGAGGCACTGGGTTCGATCCTCAGCACTACATATAAATAAAGGTATTGGGTTGACTATAATTAAAAAAAAATAAAAGCAAACAAACAAAAAAAAAGTACCCTTAGAAAAACCAGGTGGACCTGTGGTCAGGAACCCTGCAGTGCTGCTCTTTCTCACCCGGGAGCTCTCTGCTCCTGCAGGGCTGGGCTTTAATGAGGCACCCACATTGCTGTGCTGTATGGAAGCTGCTAATCTCAGAATCCCACCCCCTCCTCTTTTATCTTTCTATTTATTGTTTTGGGAACCTGCCAGCTGGATCTAGTTGCCTGTGCCTTATCTGGCTGTATGGCCTTTTAATCATTAATTTCCTTTCTCTGGAGATACAGTGAGATGATCTTAAATGTCCTTTCAGTGCTGACAGGCCTTGAAAAACCTGTCCCAAAGCAGGGTCCTGCAGAACTCTGAGGGCACAGAGGTGGCCACGTGGGCAGGTGCCTGTCCCCAGTGCTCTCCCTGCAGCCAGGAGCCACCCTTGCATGGAGTGCTACTAGACAAACTTGGGAAGTGTATTTATTGAAAACTCCAGGCCACCCCCGAGGGGTTTACCCTAGATCTGAACCCAGGGGAGGTCTTCACCTCTCAGACACTATCTCAGCAGCAGCAATGTTACATTTTCTAAGACAAGCAGAGAGCAAGCACCATCACGCTCATGGGGTTGGGGTCAGCGGTGGGGTCTCCACCCAGCCCACAAGTTCTTCCTCATGATCATCCCTGGTTCTTTTGGGGTCTCCTTTAGCATCCCAGGTATCATTATTAGATTTCAACTTAAGGGGGTGAATGGGTAAAAGCTTTACCAAGGGTCCTCTACCTTCACTCTGAGGATCAACTTAAAGACTCCAGATCACTCCTGTTCATACTTCCTGAAGTTGGCCATGGCATGGCGTGGATTCAGTCTCTGTTCTTGGCCTCGCTCTTTCCATGCCAAACAGCCAACTGCTTCCTTGCCTCTGGTGATGCGTGTTCTTCCTTGTGCTTTATGGGTGCTGTCCATGAGGCTATAGTAGCCCTCCCTCTTTCTTTCCTCACAGCTGACCACCCCATCCTACCCCTAAACTTGCCCTGTCATCTCTTCCTCCAGTGAATGCCTACTCCATTTGGGAATCAGCTCAAGCAGCTGCCTCTTGAAGACTCCATTGGTGTTCCCATGACACCTGCTTTAGGCTGAATCACGTTTGTCCTCCCCCACCCCCATCCCATAATATACAGCCTAGTCCCCAGGCCCTGTGAATACGCTCTCTCATATGGCAAAAGGGACTTTGTAGATGTGATTAAGTCATGGGATTTGAGATGGAGAGAGTCTGCTGGGTCACCCAAGGGAGTTCAGGGATATAATTACAAGTATCCTTATATAGGAGGGAGATACTGCTCCTGATGAGAGGGACAGGAAGGGACTGGAGAGGTGTGCTCTGAGCGTGAGAGCAGGTGGAGGAAGTGGCCATAAACCAGGGGACACAGGCAACCACTGGAAGCTGAAAGAGACAAGGAATGTATCCTTCCCTCAGCCTCTAGAAGGAACCAGACCTGCTGATCTGAACCTAGAAAAAAACAGATTCTGGACTTCTGACCTCCAGAACAGAACTTTGTACTGATCGATGCAGTCTGATTATTTTTAAAAGCAGTGATAGGAAATGAAGGTAGTATTCATGTGCAGCCCTCACTGAGAGGGGCAGATTGAACCAGTGGACCTGCTCATGTTTGACTCCTTCATGCTAGACAGGAGCCCTGGAGGCCCAGTCCTGTGGCCAACTCACCTTGTGAGCCTCTCACGCCCAGAGTGCCTGGGGCCCATAAGTATTTTATGAACCAATACATGACACATGATAGCCCCAATATTTACGAGCACATATTACTTTCAGGAGATTTCTGCATTTTCATTTCTTTGGCATCTGAGTCAAGTAGGCAGCATAGATTTTATTTTTTTCTGAGCCCTATTTTATAGATGAGGAAACCGAGGCTCAGAGAATTGAAGCAACTTGCGCAAAGAAACAGCTTAGTGTGCTTCCTTTCCAGAACATTCCATACCTACAGCTCCAATGAGACACATGAGGAAGAGGAGCCCGATGCAGAAGAAGATGTCTGTGTTCATGCGCCGCTCAATCTTGCTGCGTTTGTACCGGGGGCCGCTGTTGTTCAGCATGGCTTTTGTGTCATGGCCTTTGGGAGAGAATGAGAAAATGAGTCCCTTGGCCCAATTTGGTTGCCTCTGCCCTGGATCGCACCCTTGGCTTTCCTCATCAGAGCTGGGGATAAAAGGTTTCGTTTGCTAGGGAGCCTGTCCTGCCTCGGGGAGGTTGCTGAGGATGGGTGGAGGGGCCTCCCCAGTGTGCCAGCAGGTGTTCACCGAGTGTCCCCTATGTGCCAGGCGTGGTGGTGGACACTGACAGAGCTGCCATGCACAGCTCTCTGGGTACCCCTTATTTAGTAGTCAGAGACTCGTTAAGGTTAGTAGGACAAACTTGTGGCAGATGAAAGTCCACTGTCTTTAGGAAGGGCTGTCTCTAATTTGCCCAGAGGCACTGTTCTGGCCATTATAAGACAAAGTGTTCCCTTTCTGGCGAAGTTATACAAAGAAACAAATAAGAATTCTCAGCTATTAACTAATCCCATAAAATAAAGAAAGCAGTAATCAAAGGGCTGAGGCAGGTAAGGGATGCCATTAGACAGCATGGTCAGAGAAAGCTTCTCCAAAGAGGTAACATTGAAGGGAGGGAGAAAAAAAACTCTAGGCTGTGAGATTGTACTGTGCAAAGACCCTGTGATAGGACAGCGTTCGGGGCCAGTAGTTCCTGTATTTCCCTTTTTGGTTGAGCTTGAAGAGTTGGTGTTTTCTGTGCGACAGTAATAGGGACCAAAGGCCATCACCCCAGCATTGATTCCGAGTAGCCTCACCCCTAACTGGGACATTTGTATAAAATTTCATTCAACCAAAGGATGACAATATTTGAAGACTCTCCATCTTTTCCAGTTATCTCCTTTTTTTTTTCAGTAGGGAAAGGGAACAACCAGAGAGTGGAATGGACCTTTCCATAAAGAGAGAATAAATTGACATAATAAAGTCACCGTAGGAAGCCACGATTCTGAGTCCCAGTCTGGGTCTCCTTTCACCAACCTGTGGTGCCCCAGGTCACACAGCAGAGAGCTAAGAGTCAACCTGAGACATTGCCTTGGGACAGAGCCTCCTCTCTGGGGTTGCTGGATTTTAATTACCAAGCTGCACTCTTCCTCGGTGGTCAAATTGAAAAATGGCAGTCACATATTTTCTGTGCAAAATCAAAGAAAACCCATGCATCAGTTCCAGAAGCAAATGGCTTCAATGCTGCTTTGCTGGTTGCCTTGTGGATTTAAAGCAGCAACAGAACAGGAGTGAATGATCCTCAGGTTTATTAAATTAGACTCAAGTGGCTATGCTTGGGAGGAGTTCTGCAGATGAGGAGCACAGACCAAGTGCACACATAGCTTTCCACCCGCCTCAGGCTCAGTGTGTGCAGAGGGTCCTGGGACCATGCTCTTTGCCCACCTGCTCGTCACCTGCTGAGACTCTGCCTGTTATCTGGGCTAGAGTTGAGTATACAGGAAGGCCCTGTGGTATTGTGGTCAGGACATGGGCTTTCGAGTCAGAACTTGATTCTTGCAGATATTTGACCTTGGGTTACAGGGAATTAAACTCAGAAGACATGTGACTTCAGGCCAATGAATTCCTCTGCTCCTCAATTCCTTATTGGTCAAATGGGAGATGATGATCATGGGTGCATTTGGGGTGGGGGCCTGAATGAATGTAGATCAAGTACCTAAGCTAGTTCCTAGCCCACAGTAGGGGCTTGAACACTGCCTGCAGTGATGAGCACACACCTCCACACTGCATCTCTTCCTTCTGGAAAGCCCAACTTGGCCTGAGTTCTTGGCCCTATGTGTCTGTCCACAGTTTCATGAGAGAGAAGATAACTCTGGACTGTTATTCTTAACCAGTGGTTGTTTATTCTCATACATTTGGCAATGTATGAGACGTCTTTGATGATCTTAACTCAGGAATGGGGTGGTTCTAATGGCTGTACTGGGTGGGGACCAGACATGTCACTCAACACTTTACAAGAAAGCCCCTCCCTGCAAAAAATGTTGTCAATGGACCAAACATCAGCTATGCCCAGGTTGAGAGCCCCTGATCTACATAGTGATACTCAAAACAATGAGCTCCATTTGTGTGTGTGTGTGTCTAGTTCATTCTAGGTACTCTTCAGGCCTTTTCACAGATAACCTCCTTTGATCCTTACATTACTGCCAGGTAGGAACTATTAGTTCCTCTTGCATAGAAAATTTCACCAGCTCACACAGGAACATTCAGATCCACAGGATCTTTTCCCCAGGCTGCCTGGCTCTCCAGTTAAAGTCCTTTCCTACCCATTACTCATTTAGTGGTTCTTTGTCTTCACTCAGGCAGAGAAGCACAGCTCTAAATCTGTGTGGCTTTTCTCTTTCTGTTTTCTGGGGGCAGGGATTTGTGGAGAGTTCAAGTGCAGTAGGTCTACTAGATGGTGCTGAACTTCCTTGCCAAAGAGCCTTGAAAGAAGTCACCTGAACTGAAAAACACACTCCTCTCCCCCCTCCCCCAGGTAGGAAAAGCTAGCTAACTAGTGACATTAACTTTTAAAAAGACCTGTTTTTCTTTGACAACCCTAAAAAGTAAACCTTAGAGTAGATGGATACTTATGTCTATCTTTCATGTCTATCAATATGGAGTTCTACTCAGACCAAAATGAATGAAACCAAAAAAAAAAAAAAAGCAAAATACTCCAAAAGCATCCCAGGGAATGGAGATGCTTCCAGTGAATTATAGACTCTCCAGAGAGACTATTTCCTCTACAGGAAATGATGTCTTTAGTCATTCATGTAACGATAGAGATCTACTGAGCACCTACCACGCTCCAGCTGTTAGGCAATGGGGACTCACAAGAGTTTCCTTTGAGACTTTTGATTACTTTGGGGAAAGTACTGCTGTCACCCCTTTGTTACTGGAGAACAGAATTAAAGCAGAAAGGAGGGAGACCCCTGCTATGGTTTGGATGTCAGTTATTCCACCAAATGTTAGTCTTCCCTAGAGCCGAGTCAATGCCAGAGTCATGCCTTGAAACCTCCCAAACTGTGAACTAAATAAACCTCTTTTCATCATAAAGTTAGCATGCATCAGGTATTTCATTATAGTAGTGAAAGTGGAATAATAGAGTGCTCCAATCTAGAGCCATAAAATAAACAAAGATAACAGTAAAAGCATGATTACAAAACCCATAATCAAAGCCCATTGAGCTCTCACTATGCTAGAGAGAGTGCCTTTCATGTGTTGGGTCATCTGATCCTCAAGAATTCTCCAGAGCAGATACAAGTATTCTTCGCACTGTACAAAATGACTAAATTTGGGCATACAAGATGAGGTTGTTATGTTTAGTGAGGTTATTCTATAGGCCCAAGAAGACAGTCCCTCTTTACCCTCCCTTTGGTGAGTGTCACCAATCCACTGGGTGGGTGAGTGTGACCCTATCTGCTTCAGATGAGTGATAGGACTTTGGAATCTCATTATTACTTTGAAGCCTCATGTGGACTGAGCAAACAGGTGTGATCCCAGCCTCAGTTTGCTTACTTGAGGGATGGGCTGTTATGTGACTCTGCTCCTTTGAACTGCAGTGGATTCTTATGGAGTGAAGGCAGATTTCAAGGGAAAGAATAGAAGAATAAAGAAAATGTTGGACAACCGAAAGGCCCAAGGACAATGACCTGCGTAGATGACAATGCCAACAGCCACCTCCGTGTTTCTGATAGTGCAGCCTCGAAGCAGAAGACTCTCACTGCCGAAGCCAGTCCTGGTCTGGTCGGGATGCTCCCTGGGGATGACGAAGGAGAGACAGGGTGGTTTGGTGGCCTGTCCACCTGGTCACTAGTTAGTATCACAGAAGAAAAACTGTGAGTATATGTAAACCTTCTCCTCCCTCATTTTCAGAGGGCGGTAGTAACCGGGAATCCACTCTCCTGTAGGTTCGAGGGCACCTGTCATGGTTCCTAGGCCTGGGGGGGGGCTGGACCATCAGAATGGAGTTGTCCACCCTAGGAAGTCCTCACTTACTGCCCTGTGAGGCCTGCTGTGGTGCTCCTTACGCAGCATTCACACCCTTGTGCTTGCTGCTGCCAGGAACCTGATCAACCCAAACTGGACATCCAAGTGCATCGTGGACACTAGATAGGTCTCTTTTACCAGGAGACAGGAAAGGCAGTAGGGTCAGGTAGGGAAGGGCAGTCGCCACTTCTCATTCTGAGAAGCATTTGGCCTCTCTCCCGTTCTATCCTTCTCTCAGTCTCCCACAAAATAAGCAGAATTGGATAATCGCTATTTGCCCAACTCACTGGTGGCAGCCTCTTAGTGAGGAGATGAAATCTCTTCCTTCCTGCAGCCTTGGGGAGCATTGCATCTTCCATTCCTCCAGAAACTTCTGAGTTAGACTGATTATATTATTTCCTGGGTTCTGGCCCTTAGTCTATCATGATGCCTTTACTCGGAGAATTTTTTTTTAACCAACTTTAAATATAATGCTCCAGAAACATTAAGAGGAAAAAAAATAGTTCAGACTCTAAAAGCTTTCTCTCCTTATAGTTCTTCAGTATTTCATTTCCCTACATCTGCTTGCAAGACTTTTCCATGTGTTAAGTAAGCCTCCTAAGACGCTAGGGCATGTTGTCATACCCATTTCACAGACAGGAAAACAGAGGCAAGTTTGTGGAGCTAGTAGGTGGCAGAGCAGGATTCACACTTAGGGGGTCTGGCTCCTGAGTGCTCGGCTGCAACCTAGCGTGCCTTTTCATGCTAATAATTCCTGTGTTTATAAACCACATTCACTTACTTGGCCTTATTTGAATCTTTACAGCTCTGGAAAGCTAGCAGGGTGATTGTCTTTGCTCATGAAAAAACTGAAGCTCAGAAAGGCTGAGGGTTTTTCCAAGGCCACACATCTAGTGCCTGGAGCATCGGAGGACCTGGAAACGCAGGTAGCAGACAACAACCCCTGATGAGGTTCTCACTACTCTGGGGTTCTCAAAGTGCCACCCCCTTATCTGATTCTGTGAATCTGTCAAGGAGGATGTCCTCATTTCAGGTGGGAGTATGAACCCTGTTCTGCCACTTGTCCATCCCATTTTATAACACAGAGGAGGCTTATGGCAAATGGTCTTTCATTAAATTCAACAATACAGGTTTTGGTGTCACCATATGCATTTTACTATGACCTTCTATGTATAGCAAGTGATATTAGTTTTCAAAGGTCTAGTTGTATAAATTTTCCTTTTGAAATGAATTTTAAAAATCAAGCAATTATAAATTTGGTAGGAAAAAGTATAGATTTTGATGAATATGATAAAAAATCATAAAGGCGGTCTGAGGATGACTTTTAGGATCCACGATTGCTCTATCTATCTATCAAGGAAGAGGCTAGTTRTGGATTGACTCTCGGGCTAATGAATCTTGAACCTGTCTGTCAGTAGCTTATGGTTTAAGGAACATATTTATGATGATCTGAGGAGATATCATAACAGAAGCTTCCACTTCAGTAATAACGTTCTTTTTTTCCAAAGGACAGTAGGAAAGGATTAGCTTTCTCATAACTGCTGCTTTATTGAATGCTMTTTGTTTACAGGGATGCTCTATTTAAAGGACTCAGAGACATTTCTCAATCCTGGCATTATTAACATCTTGGGCTGGGTGATTCAGTGTGGTGGGGGCTTCCTTGTGAACTGTAAATTTGGGGCAGTATCCCTGGCCCCAACTCACAAGATGCCAGCGACACAACTCCCCAGTTGTGACAACCCAAAATGCCTCCAGATCTTCCCAAGTGTCCCCTGGCTGGGGAAGAGGGAGATTTCCTCTAATTGAGAGCCACTGTTCTATAGATTCTTTTGTTTAAAAATTGCATTTTCAAATTTGACACTTATAATCTTTGATTAGATCAATAAAGGCTGTTCATCTTCTAGTTGACCTGTGAAGTCACAGGGAACACTTAAGGAGATCCACAGAAGCTTCCAGGGGAAACTCAGACATCARACCAGTGGGCTTTTATTTATTTATTTATTTTGGTACCAGGGATTGAACTCAGGAGCATTTGACCACTGAGCCACATCCCCAGCCCTATTTTGTATTTTATTTAGAGACAGGCTCTCACTGAGTTGCTTGGTGCCTAATTTTGCTGAGGCTGGCTTTGAACTTGCAATCCTCCTGCCGCAGCCTCCTGAGCCGCTGGAATTAGAGGCGTGCACCACTGCACCCAGGGACCAGTGGGTTCCCTCATGAATAAGGTGCATGGGCCTGGGGACATTCTCCTCGCCTAGCGTGGCCAGGATGCAGGACCACATCAAGAGGGCCCATTGTCCATGGGTTGGCTATGGGACTGACCAGTTGGGCTTTCAGGATCATCCGTGGAGCTCAGGCCGGTGGGGGAGAGTCGGCTCTCTGGCAGCAGCAACCAGGGAGAGGAGATGCTGGGGTTGAGTGGACCTGGGACAATTCTGTCCCCAAATCTCTCTGATTAAGATGGGCCAGAGCCTAGGTTAAAAGCTGAGAAGTTCAGCTGGACAGAAGGTATTTGAAGGAGACAGAGTCTCAGAAACCCATCCATGAGGCTGTTCTCTACGGAAATGAAAATGACTTGGGATGAACCAAATCCATAAACCACAGGTGCGAGGAGTGCATTCCTTGCCAGGGCTAGTGACAAGCTCTGCCTTGCCAGATGCCTGCCATGAAGTCCTCCCTGTCCCCAGCTCTCGCCTTTCTCTGCCTGTCTCCACCAGCCCTTCCTGTGTATTTAAAAAGCAATTTGCCTTAAAAGCTGCGGTTTCTCCTGCACTGTTCTTAATCTTTCACTTCTCACATTCTCCCTCTTGACATCCCAGGCAACCCGAGGAAATGCGAATGGAGAGAAGCACAGAAGTCTTCTCAAGCTCATCCCAGGCCTGTTGGTGAGAGGCTGGCATGACTCTGTGATGTAGGACAGTAGAAACATTTCAGGGTTGGAGTCTGAAGAGCCATATTTAAGTCCTGGCTTTGTCTATACCTGCTTGAGTCTTTGGTGCATCTGGACATCTTGGTGCATCAGACTCCCCATCTGAAAAATGGGGATCATGACACCTGCTTCCTTGGGTTGCTGGGAACATTTAGATGACGTGTGAAGTGCTCTAAGAACTGTTCTAGCACTGTAGAAGGCAAGTACTCACATTTGTTACCATTGCCCTTATTTTGCAGACAGCACAGTAGTCTGATGTGGAAGCAGAATTACAGTAAAATTTTTAGACTGAACCAAAGTGGAAGAGTGGCAGTAATTGCAACTGCAGCATACCAATAGATGAGCATTTATTCTTTGCCAGTTGCTATGCTGAGGGCCTTGAAAATGATAACTTAATTCATGGAAAAGTCTATGACATAGATATTCACTTGACAGATGTGGAAACTAGGGTTCAGGGAGGTTAATTCATTTGCCCAAGCTCACACAGCTTATAATGGGAGAACTCCAATTCAAGCCCAGGTCTGTCAAAACTCTGAGGTCTCCTTTCTTAACTATAATCCATTTTACTTAAATTATCCTTTCCTCCCCCAACTCCAGAGCATGATCTTCATTGTGATGCAATTTCACTAAGGTTCTACATAAACCTCTGGTGAATTTCACCTTGACATTTAATGAAGGTCACTCAGGAAAAAAAAATCCAACTTCTCTCTCTCTAATCTTCCTTTATGATAAAAAATAAAATTCCTCAGGATCCAGGTGCTTATCTGTTTGAGCATTGCAAGAAAACACATTTCCTAGCTGCAGAGGAGACATTTGCTAGCAGACCGGAGGCACTAGATACTTACATGTAACCCTTAAATTTGTTGAGGTGGTTGTTGGGTTTCTCACACACGATGGTATTGCAGAAGTGCTCTGGTTGGAACTGCAGCTCCTGAGAGAGACAGAATTCTGTGAGGTTATTAAGTCCTACTGATTTAGTCTTAATAGGATCATCCGGAGAGCTAATCACTACTAGAACCATCACGAATAAGGTGATTCCTGCTTTGTCACACAGTGACAATTGCAACGTGTAGGAAGCAGAGTTAAATCCTCATTAAGGAGGAGAAAGTAGATATGAATGGAAAGATGGGTGCAGAGCCCAGGAAGACCTCTGCACTGACCGTGTTTCTCAGGCAGGCCTGGGTTCCAGTCCCCAGCCCAGTGCTGTCCAATAGAACCTACTCCAACCATGGACACGTACATTCTAAGGCTGTGTTGTCCAACACAGAGCCGCCAGGCACATGTGGCTATTGAACACTTGAAACATGTAGCTATTGAACACTTGAAGCTTGACCCAGGAATTGGTTTTCAAATTGAATTTTCATTAAAGTCAAATAGCTACCTGTGGCCAGTGGCTAATACATTAGGCAGCACAAAAATAGATGATCAAAATGAAGGGGTCATAAATCACACTACCTGGAGAGAGCCACAACTTATATGTTCATATATATATATATATATAAAATACTTCTATGGTGTTAAAAGATATATTCACACATATGCATGCCCACAGGTACATTTATGCATTTCAAAAATGAGTTGGTGCTCCTGTATCTTGCACATTTTTACATGCTACAAATTTTGTCTATGAAGATCTGAATAGAAACCTATTGTGTGAATGTGCCCTATTACCTGTAAAAGCATTTCACTATTGAATAGTTACATTGTTTCAATTCATTTGCTATTCTAAAAATACTGTGAAAATAATAGCTAACAAAGCAAAATAAATCGAATTTACCAGACTCTTAATTCTGCCTGACCCTGTGATGAGATCTTTACACTTTTATTTGTTTGGGGGCTTATAATTATCCTAYGAAGCAGAAACTTTTATCGTCCCCCCCACCTTAAAGTTTGGAAAACAAAATACATGTATAAATACATGAATTGGCAAGAACATACTTTATACACAAAGATATGAAAAATCGTGCTCTATGTGTATAATAAGAATTATAATGCATTCTGCTGTTGTGCATTTAAAAGAATAAAATTAATTTTAAAAAAAAGGTAAGGGAGGTTGTCCAAGGTCATACCATGAGTGGGATTTGAATTTAAATCTAACTGTAAAACCTCTTCCTGGGGAACAAACTTGTAGCTAAGTATCTAAACATATTCTCAACTCTGCTTATTAAAGGCATTTTAGTTGTACAAGATTTTATGATATAATGGGTAAAACTCAGTTAGGGGTGAAGAACTGTTTCTAACTCTACACTCCTGGTTGACTCATTCTAGGTTCAACTCTTCAGTCTCAGTTTCCGCATTGATTAACACCACCTGCCCTGCCTGACTCACGCCTCAGAAGAGAGAATCTGGATGGAAAAGTTTGGAAATGTGGAACAAACGGAATGCAGTAGTTCTGTCAGATTGGAAATGCTTACCTGAGCAGAGCTTATAGCACTAGGAATGAATTTATCCCTAGAGTTTCAAGGTACAGCTGTTCAAAAGGGCAGATTGATTTGGAGAAATGATAGCGTTTTCTGCCTTTGTGTAAATATACTCTCCATTGCATCTGCGACGGTGCCAATATAAATAAGCTCTCTACTCACTTGAAATAAATTACCCATCCAGGAGTTTCTAAAAATATGGCCCCCTTCCCTCCAGGAATCGATCCTTTCAGGGACAAACACTTGCTGAGTTCTGAGATCGACAGATCATGCTGTAATTTGTTAGCTTTCAGACCCCTGATTAAGTCGTGTGCTCACTTAGAATTTTTTTTTTAGTTGTTGATAGACCTTTATTTTATTTATATGTGGTGCTGAGAATCAAACCCAGTGCCTCACATGTGCCAGGCAAGTATGCTAGTGCTGAGCCCCAGCCTTCATGTGCTCACTCTGACCCATACCATTCAGCTCATCGCTGGGTTTCCACATCCAGACCCATTTCACAGATGAGTGGCAGTCAGGAGCCTTCTGCAGTGACTGAGGTCACACTGTGCTTTCATCACACTCTGGATCCCCAGCCAAGGTGAAGTTAACTCTCTGCCTTCCTCCTGAGGCCTCCCTTCCCTGGTTCCTGCTCTCCTTTCTCTCTAGGCACCAGCCTGGGTCTTCTGCCTTTCTCCATATCAAGGTGACTTTGCTCTCTCTAACCACCTGTCGCCTGGCTCCTTCCTTCCCTCTGCATCACAGACCCTGGAGAAGGGTACTCATGCCCTCTTGCTTTTGAGGATTTGCTGGAGCTCCCTCCAGGGAGGTTGCTGGGACACAGCCCGGGGATGGGAGGAACCGCAGTGCCACACGAGATCTATCAGTCTCTTATCTAAGGTGCTGCCCTTTGGTGAAGTCTCACTGATTGCCAGGAAGGCACAGGGAAGACTGTATGTCCTTGGTTCTTTAGGGCAGACTTACCAATCCTGAGCCCTTTGTCCTTGACACTTGTCATTAAGTTACCACGGTAGCTTTAAGAGGTTTGGACAAAGGTACAAGTGGAGACTGAAGTCAAGTCTTGTGGTTGTTGAGTAACAGGCTGGGATGGCAACTCGCATCATTGAAATCCAAAGCTAGTCGTCACCATCATCATCACCTTGATTATTCTTCCTTCTCTTCCTGCTCTTGTCATTATTGTCAGATTTGATTGAGTGCTTGGTAAAAGGAACTAAGTATTTTATACATGCTCGCTTCTTTAATTCTTATGATTAACTATCACATAGTTTCCATTATCATCCTGTTTTACAGATAAAGAAACTGAGGCTTAGGAAGAAACCCTGCTTTCCCCAGTGTCTTTTGGCCAGCAGAATAGGAAGACAAATTTCGAACAGTATGGTGTCTGCTTTCTTGACCACAGTGTCATTGGGTGTATGAAGGAAAGGCTAGCGTGAGTTCTTCGCTTGGCCCTGTTTCCTTTTCTGGTTTTATTTCCCACCTCCTGTGAATGAAGTGCCTGATGTACTAAGTGAATCCATTCTCCATAGAAAATACATTAAATGGCCATAGTACTCAGTGCAATGTTGCCTTTTTCAAACACATTTGCTTTTTAAAGTAGGGTACCCATGACGGGTATGCATAGAAGTTAAGGCACTAATTTGCCTAGAAAACATTCTCTTAAGGATTGCTTTAAAATTTAGTATTGAAGAGGCGATTTTGTTCCAGTTCTCCTATGAAGCCCACTCTAATCCCCACAGACCCTTTTACTCCACCCCATCAGAATTGATTGCTCTTTTCTGGGTGCAAGCTTTATGTCTCTGTTTAACACACCTGTGCCTAGGTCTAGTAGACCATCAATCTTCTCTGGGGTGGTTCCTGGAACACTTTATTTCAACAGATACACCATGAAGATTTGTTAAAGTGGAGTTAGTTTTGGAGAGCATGATTCTAGGAATGTACATCTTGAAAGTTGATGGACGAGGAGATAGAAAGCAGGCCTTGCTGTAAAGACGGACCCACAGTCTCAGGTCTGATCTTAATTGATATGAAGGAAGGTGGTCACTTCTTTTATGGGAATGCATTTTGGTTCAGCAAATAAAAAACATCTTCAAAATCCTAGATCCCACTCATTCATTCATGAGTTCAAGCGTTTACTGAATACCCATGTTATACAAGCCAGGAGAGAAGGAGGAAGAGATTAGAAACCAAATGAATTACTGGAGTTATAAAACACTGCAGTTCCCGGTCTTGCTTAGGTGTGTCCATGGCGGGACCTCTGAAGGCCAGGGAAAGTGAGCCAAAGGTCAGGGTACGATAACTCCCCAGGGTTGAGGTGCTCCTGGCTGACCTGTGCCCCAGATACAGCCTGAGACTCTGGGAAGGCCAAGAGGAAACCATCAGACTGAGATASATCCAGGTCACCAGAACAGGCTATTTCCCTGGTGCTTGCCTCAGATTGTACATTTGGGGCTTGCTTTCCACTATTTTTCACAACTGAATATCAAGTTAATCAATAAATTTGTGGTTAAATAATAATGTGCACCCATGGTCTTTTGAAGTTTTTTCCTGCAGTGGGTCATTGTTTGCTGCCTGCCTGCCTCCCATTCCACTCTTCCTGCATAAATATGCTTTGACTTTCTTTGGGGATGTACCTTCCCTCCTTGGTTCATAATCTTGAGGGGATTGTAAGTCCAGAAGCCCAGACCCTTAGACTCTCTCCACTATTAGACTTTGGATTCTGTGTAATGATTCCAGGAAGGAATCAAAAGAATACGACCATCAAATGATTCCTGGTACTACTAGCCTTCCACTGCCCTCAAGTTTCCTGGTTCTTATTTCTGAGCCCGGATCTTCAGCTACCTATGATTCTGTAAGTCATGTGTGCATTTCTCCCCTTTCCTACCACACTCTTACCAATATTCCAGTTTGCTTCAGTTAAGCAGAATTGCTTTTGTTTCTTTTTTTGGGAGGTGGAGTACAGGGATTGAACTCAGGGGCACTCGACCACTGAGCTACATCCCAGCCCTATTTCGTATTTTATTTAGAGAGAGTCTCTCACTGAGTTGCTTAGCACTTCGCTTTTGCTGAGGCTGGCTTTGAACTTGTGAACCTCCTGCCTCAGCCTCCCAAGCTGCTGGGATTACAGGTGTGCACCCTTGTGCCAGCTGCTTTAGTTTATTGCAAACAGACTCCTAATCAATACAGCATCTACTCAGTCCGACAGGTATATTAAATATTTTCCTATGGTGGTGTTTGGTAAAATTGCTTTTCAAAACGGCTATCCCTTATTTACTCCTTATTTATGAAGTGTTTGAAACTGATTAGCCCCATTTTATTGAGGTGAAAACTGAGCACTGATTATGATAAGTAACTGGCCCAAGGTCACTCGTCTCAAGAGAACTCAGTTTTGTCTCATTCTAAAGTTTGCCTTGTTTTTCACTTGCTGCATTTAGTGCTCCCTGCCTAGATGATCTGGGTCTTAAATGTTTTATTCCTAAATTTTCTATATTGGCAATTCTCTTGCTCTTTTAAA